GCAATAGTTACGCGCATTAAAGATACGCGAAAATGAATGTTTGGACTGACATGTCCCTGTCTCTTATACACATCTAGATGTGTATAAGAGACAGGGTGTGGAGTTAGGCACCTCAACACTCCGCATGGTATACCGGGTCACTCCGCATAGTACATGGTTGGCAACATCGTTAACCGTGGTGTCAATCGTGCGATTGGATCTGTAAGAAATCAAACTTCTCTATAACAGACATCAAGATGATAAATGTCTTGTTTTTAATATAAGAGGAAACTGTAGTTTTGGTAATAGGGTACACGACATGGTCAAATTTGAACATTTTAGTCGCTCTCTACTTTACCGCTAAAGTACCGACTTATTGTAAATGTTGTAACTTATTGGCAAATTGAAGCTCATTATTTGTCGACTACTGCCAGCCAAGCTTGATTCTAAAATGATTTGTTGTGCTATACGAGTACACATCAGTTGGTACTAGCACACCATCACCACGAACATGTTGTGTGGTGCTGTGGGTATTGAGTACACGTTAGCTGGCATCTTGCACACCATCGTATCACTCATATTTATTAATCAGTATTGAGCAGTGAAAAAATCAGTGAATGTCCACCTCATTTCGGAGGTTTGACGGTGGAAGTGTTGGTAAGAGGTCATGGGGCTGAGTTGGAAGAGGTCATGGGGCTGAGTTGGAAAGAGGTAATAAGTGTGGGGTTAGGAAACCAACCAGCCAGATGCGGAAAACACCGCGTAGTATTCAGGGTAGTACTCCTGAGTTTCATACTTGACGAAGATGGTTGGTTTGGCAACGTCATCAACTGTTGTGTCAACAAGCCGATTGAAGCTGTAAAATAGAACATGATGAAATGGACATGCCTTGAATCCTCATTCATTTCCTCATTCATTCAGATGGCATTTTAGTCACGATGGCATGGTAGTTTTGCCACTTTTTCAAACTGAAAAAAATAAAATGCTGGTTTTACGAAGCCCAATACTAGTTTCTGAAGTAATTAACGTTGCTATGAGTACACATCACTTGAATATATCTTGCATCCTATCAAATTACACGTAATTTCCAATCACAATCTTGCGGCAGCGCAAAAAAGCTAGGTGTTTTAACAATTTTTCGTCATTTGCCGCTATGCAAGCGTACCCGTCTTTCGGTGGTTTGAGGGTAGAATCTTCGCCGCGGGCCGTGAGACCAACAAGGACTCTGCAGACAAAGATGGCCTTTCCGTAGTCGCGAGACATTTTTGCGCTGCATTGAGAGATGTAGAAAATAAAGCACGATAAATGACGCACAACCGGCTTATAGTTCTCCTTTATGTTCTATTGTAGGATCATTTAAGGAGTGTTTAGTTAAATTTCTAAAAGAACAAGAATTGTTAGTTCCAGACATGTTAATTCATCCATTAGTTCGTCAGCCAATGTCTAGCCTCAGCATGCAATTCATATACACTCAGCCTAGGAGCTGGAAGTCGAAAACTACGCTGGAACACGTATTCCAGAGCATTGACATGACAGACTGGTTGAAGATAGTAGCACCGTAGGCCTTCAACCGATACTTGAGCACGCTCGTTCATAAGTAGGCAGTTCTGCATCCAGTCTCACCTACTCTTGCCAAGCATCTTCTGGCCTAACCGACCGATTCACGCTGTCCCGACTCTCAAACTTCTTGCAGCCAATGACTGGTTCTACCAGCTCACTTACCCAGCCTCTCTAACTTCCTGCAGCTAATGAGGTTGTGTTATGTCCGTTGATATTTGTTTAGGTGAAGAGATGTTGCAGCGCATGAAGGTTAGCCAAAAGAGACTAGGCTGAAAAAAGTTATATCAGATGCTGTACGACCAAGCTTAACATGAGTATGCTTCAAGCGGTGAGACTGAACATGCGACTCTATATGGACAAACGACTCTATGGACAGGTGCTTTAAGCACCTCACTGATTGTAGGCAGGAGATATTAGCATTTGCCATAGACTGCGGTTGCAGTTAACACAAAATATCTCCAAGCTCTACTACAATTGAACGATCAATCCGTAAGAGATTCCGACATAATGAATGATATACAGCAGAGATCACGATTGAAAAATTGCGTATAGAAATGGTTCAGATATTTACAAATACGTCAATGAGGCTACGTGCCTCGAATCAACGTACCTGTTTGAGAAATAGGCTCCTCTTCCATATTTATGTCCTGTGCAGGATCCATGAAGTCTCCAGTCGAGGTTGTCTTCAAGGATGGCTTTGACGTTAGCAGGTTCGGTACCATGGAAGAGGTATTCCTCCTTATACATAACACTTGGATATTGATTTTGTAGTTGAATCTTCCTGTTTTTAAACGCTGTTTCTAGGTACGGGTTGTTGATTTTAACTATGCTGATGGGGTTACAGTTAGGTAAGGTGGTCTTAAGCAGCTTTAGAACTTTGGTATATTCAGCATGGTTTGCTGGTAGGGACATCGTAGAACACTTTTGTCCTGAGGAAATTTGAGCATTCGAAGGACTAGATCCAGTCAGGGATACCGTTTGATTAAGGCGACGTACCTCTCGTACTTTGCCTGTCGAGGTGTTGGTTTGGGTCATAGTAATGAAGTTCAAAACGTACGACTGGTTTCCGGCAGAAAATTTGAATTTGGTTTTTGGGTCCGACTGGAATTTTCTTTCAATGGCACTTGTATTTTCTGTATTACCTTTGATGTCAAACTTAACCCACGACCCGTCGTCCTCTTTGAAGTACCATTCGTGCGTCGCGAGCATGGGCACCGCAGCACTCCCGTTAGATGACAGAATTAAGAATGTGCAAAATAACAGACATAACACTATAAGAAACGTGCAAAATAACCAATATAATAGCATGAAAAACGTGCTTAATAACCAATACAACAGCTGAAAGAACGCAGTGAATAACGGACCCAACAGATTCATAATCCAGAGAAACAACAGTGATAGAGCATAAGTAGATACTAAAATAAAGAAAACCAGCAAAAACTGCAAACCATACTCCGAAAAAGACGACATGATTACACGAAACCACCGAAACAACAGCACTTAAATAACTGAAAGATAAGTGTTTCGACAAGGACAAATAGCAAATTTTCAAAAACCATAAGACTGCCAAATGGCTAACTTCATTTGTCGACAGCTCAACACAGAATGAACGATCTTGCTTAGCAATTCAGGAAAAGAACGCTCGTTGAGACAGATTTAGTTTGGTGGGCAAGAAGAAACGACGGTTTTGTTTTTGTAGTTTCTACTTGCTGTCGTTGGTGACGTAAGCTGGAAATAAAATTTAATATTGGTTAATAGGTCGAGAAAGACATACACGAAACTTGCACTTGGCAACGGCTGGACTCCCATTGTTTAGGCTTAATTAATAACGTTGTAGATGAGCGTTGTTAATTGACTACTCTATGACAAGAATTGTTTATGTCAGCATGGTCAATTTCGCAGTATTTCATTAATTACTTACACAAGGTGGTTGTGGCAGGCAGGGAGAGACGTCAACTTCGATGATAACTACGTTTACCTCTTTCAGCTTCAGGGAGAGTTAGGCCAGATATACCAATTATTGACAGTTCCTTGCTTATTCTTGCAGTTGCCAACGCTGAGTTGGGCTTTGATTCTGATCATTGTGCCAATGCTGGGCTAGGGTTTGATTTCCATTGTAGTGCCGACGCTGGTTTGGGCTTGGATTACGATTGTAGTGCCAACGGCTGCGGTTGGGTTTGAAATGCGATTACGATACCTGGAATCGAGAGATAAGAGATTAAGTTTGGAGGATAATAGATTAAAATTACCCAATATGTTTCAAATCAAACGAGACGCTATGAAACATAAGTCAGCACTCAGCAATAATGCCGGGTAGACGAGGCGGTAGGCGGAAGGCGGAGAACAAAGTTGTCCCCCGCAAAACTTTTCTCTATGGATTGAGTCGAAGAAAACGTGACAGCATCTTGCTATGTCGCTCTTCTCCATGTCGTATAAAATAAGGAACAAACACGAAAGTGAGGCAAATGGCCTAAAGATATCAAATCAGAACACCTTAGATTAAGCAACAAATAATTCCAATTCAAACTAATTACCCCTAGACGAAGTCATCCTAAAATAGGAATTATCTATGATATAGCAGCATATGAGCATGTGTTCATAACAATGGCCGCCAACGATGTCTTGGCATAAACATAAACAGCAGCAGCAACAACAGCAACAATAGTAACATAAGTAGCAGCAGCAACAACAACAGCAGCAACAACATCAATAACCACAGTAACAGCGACAGTAACAACAGCAGCAACAACAGCAACTGCAACAACAATAGTAACAGCAGCATCAGCAGTAACAGCCTCAGCATTAACAGCAGCAACGACAACAGCTGTCAATGTTAACAGCATCACCCATCCCACTCCTCCCTCCCCCTCCCTACCCAAGTCGAGGGCTAGTCTCCCAGGCTGAACAAAACAGTTCAGCAACAACAAAATATATAAGAGCAATAACAGGTGAATAGCTGCGAGTAAGATGATAAAGGCATGTCTCAGCTGTTTGCCGTCACGTGGCGGCCGGCGGCAGCAGCACAAAACCTGATGCAATCCTGCGACAAGCTAAGCAAGATAGACGCCGCCATGCTGCGAGGGCAAGATAAGAACCGCCTCCTTCCTGGAGAGTGGGTCAACCTTATATAGTTCAACAATAGACTAGGCAACCGCCAGAAACCTTTGTGTGGGCTTTCTAGGGCAATGTCGTATTTTTCTGTTATTTAATCCGAACTTATTCCTAGCAGACAGAAATACGTAAACGATTTTTGAAAGACAAGACGAAAATAGTCGGAACTTGATGGGTTAAATCTGACGAGCAACGTCACATTCGTAACTGTTCTGTCTTAATAATATAATTGAAAAACACAACATAAGTCAGCATTACTGATGTAAAACAATTAATATGCTGAAGTTAGCCACATGTAAGTGGAGACAGTATAGATTTATTAAAAAACTTACACTTACTGGAATGAAATTGGAGCAAGGGTAGAAATAAAAAAAAATCAAGTGCAATTTTTATTTAAATTCGCTTTATATGTCAACTGGGATTTAAATTTTTGGTGGTCATATTAAAAATAATTTTGCGGTGGTATGTGTCATTTCAAAGTAAAGTCCATGTTCGTCTTGGAGCGCAAAGGCATCCTACATTCAAAGCCCTGTAAACGTTAACTAATTATACATAAAAATTATTAGGCTAAAGGGGCTAAAGGTTTGAAATAGAAATTGTTGATTTATAAATTCTTGTATAATAATGTAAATTATCAAAAATATTACTTGCATCTATCAAAAATATTAATTGCTAATATCTAAATGAAAAGATTTACTGGACAGCAGCCGAACCTGGCAAACGAGCGTCCGAAATGATAGCGGATATCTCATGCATCACTCAAGAAAATGGTTGGTCAGATTGTCCCAGTATTGACACACTTGCTGCGCGTAGCTCTGATACGTCCTTTTCCCGGACCAATTTGGGTCAAGACGACCCACATAAGGGCAGAAGTGAATCGCTAGTTGAAAAAAAGCCTCACTAATTTATTTAGTCACTTCCATTCATACGTGGATTATCCAAGATCGATAAGTGGATTCAAATTCAATGGATTCAAAAATGTTAATGTTCCGAAAAATGTAATTCTATGTATTCACTGAGTAGGTTAATATAGGGCGGAGGAACCACTGCGGGTCACGGGCCCATAGCGGGTTTCTCGCTAAGTATGGCAGATATTGGTCCGTGTTCTCTACCGCCAGTCGACAGTTTCACTGGGATGATGTTTTCGATTACTCTATATGAAGCTTTTAAAAGTACTGTGAATAACATTTTGAAAGTAATATTTACAGGGATAATTTGAGTTCAAGTTTAGACTATTAGCTTTCTATATAAAGTGATTACACGATATAAATTGAAATGATGCCTAGTGGGGCAACGGGCCCATGCGCGTCACGGAGCAAAGCGCCCATGGTGAAAACTTGTGTTATACGTCATTAGATTTGTCTCAATATGCTTTTCAAAATTATGATTAGCTATGATCCTTACAACATTATGCGCAACTATAAAAGGAAGACCAATATAGCCAACTATTCTCAAACTGAACTCTAGAATGTCTTTGAGGAAATTAGGAATGACAAGTTACTAAGTGTTAAAATTGCCAAGTGAACGTTGCGTCGGCACAAAAAGATATTGGTCCGTGTTCTCTACCGCCAGTCGACAGTTTCACTGGGATGAAGTGTACGGATTTACGTTTTGCTAAGTGTTTGCGTTATTAAGTTATTTGTGAATAACTGTTTTAGCCCAGATATAAGTTTTTTCTGCTGAATAAAACTGTTTTTGATTACTGTATATATGAAGCTTTTGAAAGTACTGTGAATTAAATTTGTAAAGTATTATATATAGGGATAATTTTTAGTTTAAGTTTAGACTATTACCTTTCGAAATAAAATGTTGACACGACATAAATTGAAATGATACCTAGAGGGGCAACGGGCCCATACGTGTCACGGGGCAAAGTGCCCATGGTGGGATTCAATACCCTCTGTGAAGTCTTGTGTTAAACATCATTAGATTTGTCTCAATGCGCTCTACAAAACTATGATTAGCTATGATCTTTACAACATTATGCGCAACTATATAAGGAAGACCAATTTAGCCAATTATTCTCAAACTGAACTTTAGAATGTCTTTGAGGAAATTAGGAATGACAAATTACCAAGAATTAAAATTGCCAAGTAAACGTTGTGCCGGCACAAAGATGGCAAGATGAAGCAACCTGGAGTTCTTTGTTTAGGAAGATACAATAACTACATCCTTGAAAGATGCAATAGCTACGCGCATTAAAGATATGCGAAAATTAATGTTTGGACTGACATCTACAGATGTGAGAATTGCAATCAGTGTTGCTGGGCGAAAATATAAAAATCGCCTATTTACAAAGCGAAAATAAGGCAAGCAAGGATTGGCTGAATAATTTTATGGAGCAGCACAATATGAATATTCGCATTCCTTGACCAACAAGTTTGGCACTAGTTGCTGACTCTTGCCAAACGTTGATTTCAGCCAACACCAATGAGCCAAAAGTTGATGAGTTTTTATGGTGTTGGCTGAAATCACGATTAAGTACGAATTCCCTGCGCATAATATCTGGATTATGGACGAAACTAAAACGACATTTTTTCTGATCAAATAAATATAATTTTTCTAGTCAAGGATAATTTTTTTTCATGTCAAGGATGAATTTTTTATGGCAAGGATATAATTTTTAAGTCAATGATATATATTTTTATGTCAAGGAAATATTTTTTCACGTCAGTGATAGATTTTAAGCCAAGAATATAATTTTTCAAGTTGAGGATATGAACTTTCAAGTTGTTAATAAATGAATGAATGTAATAATTTTTATTGCATTTTTTATTTTAAACTGTAAATTGTTGTTTTATCATATTTAAAACAAAAAGTTTGCAATTTGGGCAAAGGGACCAGGGGTGGGCGCCTTGCCCCAAGCCCATGGGCCCATTGCCCAAGGGGTGGGGCAATGGGCCCATTTTGACACTTTTTACAAAATAGTCTTTCATTAAAAATTGAGTAACACTATACTATAGGCTTCTAATTCACATCATACATTCCTCATTATTTGTAACTTTAAACAAAAAGAACCACCTCGTATCAATTATAACTTCATCAAAAATTTAGTTTAAAAAAAGGGGTGGGCACTGGGCCCACTGGCCCATGTTGCCCTAAACAGCACAACACAAGTCTTACTGTAGTCCCTTTTGAGTAAAATACATCACACAACCTTGAGCGATAGAGTCCTTATTTATAAAAAATTCATTAATTACAACTCAAGAAAGCATTTTTCTAAGTTTACAGCAGGAAACTATGAAGAAGAACAAACATTACAAAATGTCTTCACTTCCGCTAATAAACTAAAAAATATATGGAACGAGTAAATCCATTTTTAAAACAGCCTTAACTTATCATACGTGATATTGTGAGTAGTTATTAATTTAGGCATGTAAAAAAACGAGGTCACTAGTCTCTTCCTCAGGTAAGTCATGGGGAAAACTGTGATCCCAAAAATAATTGGATCTGGCAAAAAAAGAGAATGTGGTGTCATGTGGAGCACCACTCCATGTGGTACTCTTGTGTGGGGTTAGGCACCTCAACACTCCGCGTAGTACTCAGGGTAGAACTCCTGAGAATCATACTTGACGAACACGGTTGGGTTGGCGGTATTGTCAACCGTGGTGTCGATGGGGCGGTTTGATCTGCAAAAATCAAGATTCATTATAACCGGTATAAAAAATCTAATTGATCGTGGCGTTGTCACGTGCATCCACGCAGGCATATTCCACTAAGAAAATTTCACGAATTTGTCACAGCAAAGGAGGGCTCTACAATACAATACAGTGGATTTGACATGAGCACCAGCCACCTACTTTTCTTATGAATACATTAATTATGCATATGGCAAAATGTCATCACAGCAGACTTGAAATCTTATAGAATATGAGAGCTCTTAAATAAGCACTACAAGCGTCAAGCCGCTACTTCTCTCCCCGCTACGTAGGACTAAGGAGGAAGCTATACCTTCTGTATTTGACTTGGCGGCAAACCCGAGAGGAGACTGTAAGGTCAGGTATGCCTATTTGATGAGCTTTTTGCCTTGCACTGAACATATATCAATTATATGCAATATGTCATCACCACAAACTTGACGAGCAACAGCATCTGAGAGCATCTAAATAAACACTAGAAGGGGTAACCGGCTTTCATCTTCCCCGCTACGTAGGAGGGACGTACCCGTCTTTTGGAGGCTTGACGGTCTGGGCGTTGCCGGGGGCGGTGAGACCCACCAGGACCTTGCAAATAAAAATGGCATTCCCGTAGCCGCGAGACATTTGTGCGCTGTTGAGAAGAAGAAAAGTGATTCAATGATAAGCTCTCAGTTCACAAAGTGCATAACAAATCACTAAGGATTAACTGTAAAATAGGGAAAAATCATAAACATAGTCGCTTTGGAATCCTGCGCGAAGTCCGGGCATTAAAATCATGTCACGGAAACTAATCACTGACCTGAGGAAACGAGGTGGTAACAATATGAAGTGATATCTAATTTCGGGATGATTCATACTTTTATTAAGACACAGATTGACAACCCGCGAGCCCTCAGACAGGCTCGGCTATTTCCCTATATGGTATTCTATCATTGAGTTGGTTCAATATAACTCTACTCGTAAATGAGACATCAATCTAAATTTTTCATGCATATCCTGCTATTTATGTTCAAGGTCTGCTTATTAACAAAAATGAATAAACTTTATATAACATCAGTTATGATTGAGGAAAATGTTGTACATCGATCTTCATTATACCTGCGATTCACATAAATTTGTGAGACGTAAGGAAGTACAACTATTTATTCTCTTGATCGGTATGAAAGACATATTTGAATCGACCTCAGTTTTGTAGATACTTGTCACCAAAATCTAGTTATATACAAGAATATTCTCATGCGGAGTGGAAATCCCGTATACTAACTACTCAAATACAGGCGTTGTGGAAGGTATGAGATGAAATAGACGTCGTAAATTACTGAGCTGTCTGTCCACGACAGATGGCACGGTGAAGGGCAACTCAATGAGGGGCGAGGAATAATACGTTGCCATGTCGGCCGAGGCCAATTAGTTCAAGCCGACCGCTGGCCATTCCTCGGCCACATAATAGATGCCCGTTGCCGCAAAAAATGGGCTGGCTCGGATATCATATTACGAGGACTATAAACTCGAGGGTAGCAACTCGCGGAGCTAAGGACAGAGCGTGGATTTCCAATCGTGTTCGCGAATACCCACGCTCTCAGACTTCGCCCCATTTTGACTACCAGCCTTAATGTAGCGAAATATGGCTACCTCGTGTAATACGTACTTGTTAGAGAAATACGCTCCTCTTCCTACTGCTTGTCCTCTATTGGATCCATGAAGTCTCCAGTCGATGTTCTCTTCCAGGATTGCTTTAACGTTAGCAGAATTCGTTCCATGGAAGAGGCACTCTTCCCTGTACGGAACACTTGGATATTGACTCTGAAGTTGGGCCTTCTTGATATCAAACGCAGCTTTGAGGTACGGGTTGTTCACTTTGAAGATGTTGCGGGGTTGACAATTTGTCGACCTCAGCAGTGCTAGAACTTTGGCGTACTCAGCATGGTTCGCTCCAAGGGGTGTCGTGTAACTCGTTTGTCCAAAAGGGATTTCAGTGAACAGCTTAGTTGATGCTGACGTAGATGAACCAACCACCCCACCTGTCGCGGATACGAGCTGCTTACACCTACGTACTTCTCGTACTTTGCCAGTCGAGGTGTTGGTTTGAGTCATGTTGGTGAAATTTAGATCGTACGACTGGTTTCCGACAGTGAATTTGAAGTTGGTTAATGGGTTAGACAGATAATGTCTTTCCATAGTACCTATGATGTTGGAATTACCTTTGGAGCCAAACTTGACCCACGACCCGTCGTCTTCCTTGAAGTACCATTCGTATGCCACTTGCATAGACACCGCAACACTCCCGTTGGTACTGCCAGAATTTTTGGCCACACGCNTGAAGTGAATGTGTGATGAATATGAAGTGAATGTGTGATGAATATGAAGTGAATGTGTGATGAATATGAAGTGAATGTGTGATGAATATGAAGTGAATGTGTGATGAATATGAAGTGAATGTGTGATGAATATGAAGTGAATGTGTGATGAATATGAAGTGAATGTGTGATGAATATGAAGTGAATGTGTGATGAATATGAAGTGAATGTGTGATGAATATGAAGTGAATGTGTGATGAATATGAAGTGAATGTGTGATGAATATGAAGTGAATGTGTGATGAATATGAAGTGAATGTGTGATGAATATGAAGTGAATGTGTGATGAATATGAAGTGAATGTGTGATGAATATGAAGTGAATGTGTGATGAATATGAAGTGAATGTGTGATGAATATGAAGTGAATGTGTGATGAATATGAAGTGAATGTGTGATGAATATGAAGTGAATGTGTGATGAATATGAAGTGAATGTGTGATGAATATGAAGTGAATGTGTGATGAATATGAAGTGAATGTGTGATGAATATGAAGTGAATGTGTGATGAATATGAAGTGAATGTGTGATGAATATGAAATGAATGTGTGATGAATATGAAGTGAATGTGTGATGAATATGAAATGAATGTGAGGTTAACATTTGGTGAATTCGAATTAAATGCCGATTAAATTTGCAGTGAATGAGTGTTGAATCGAGGTGACAGTGAGTTGAATGTTTGGTGAATGTTAGATGAATTTTTGATTAAGGAGCGGTGAATGTCTGAATTAAATATTTGATTAATGTGAGGTGATTGTGAGATGAATGCATGTTGATCATCAAGCTAGTGAACGTAAAGTGAATGTCACGTGAATGTTGGTATGAATGTCTTGTATGTTGGATGGTGTGAATGTGTGGTGAACGCTTGGTTTTGTGAGATGAATATGTCATGAATGTCAGGTGAAGTGAAAGTTAAGGGAATTTGTAGTGATTGGTGAATGCGAGATGAATGTATAATGAATTTTAATTGAATTTGTGATGCTAGAATTGAGTGGTAATTTCCCTTCAAATATCATGAGAAGTAATTCGTGAGATTATAGTCTCTCGTTTTTTTTATTCATGCTATACCGTAATTCCTACTTTTTTAGTAATGTTGTTAATAATATAGACCTCCCGTTTCGAAGTTGGAAAGAAATGTATATTTTTTTCAACTTTTGAACAAAAAAACAAAACTGCTAACGAGTTTAATCGAAAGATGTAATTTAAATTTGTATTCCAACCTTCTTTCCCTTTAAACGATGCCTTATGCTTCCCAAATCCCTACTAAAATTAAATGTCCAGGCAATGTGGAATTCTTATCAATTCTAGAAGTAGTGGTAAGTGGTTCATATAGTCAAGCTCGATCCAACCAGGAAACTTGATCAGTTCCCAAATATCAGCTATATATAGAAGGTGAATATAGTTTTATATTTTAGACGAAAAATTATATGTGCAATTGTTCACATCTTAACTTTCTTGTTTCCTACGTTGACGTCCAAGTAGTAGTACACAAGTTACTATAAGAAAAACATGATAAAGTGAAAAACAATAATAACAGTAGTTGAAAATGTATTCTTTTCGCGTGAGTTAGTAGTTTTAATTTTGTAGAAGAACATAATTCAAATTCTATGCTAAATGTGGGTTTAAAATCTCGTCTTTATGTATTAATATCAAACCATAATTACATTATACAGCTTTATATGAGTAACCCCTCAAATAATCCTCAAAGAAAAAAACAATTACATGAGTAGCTCAAGTAAAGCGACGAGTGGAATGGATCGTGCGTATAACACTGCAGCGTCGTAATTTCCTTAAACAAAACTTATACTAATAAGTCGTGAAAGCTTTCCACTGTAATTTAAAAATGATTTTTTTTTCTATCAGGTCTAAAACGTTTTTTTCTATCAGGTCTAAAACGTCCAATTTGTCAATGTTTATCACAAGTGATCACAATTCACGTCTTTTCATGACAACGACGTTGGTCGCTGAGAACACAAATCTCACACCAAATCGACACTTTTCCCAACTCGCCCGAGAGCTCAAACACAAAATCTAACTTAATGCTCAACCGAACCACTCATGGACTTATGACTAATTCAGTTGAGCGTAAAGTTAAGTTTTGCGTTTGATTCCGCACGCGAGTTCGGAGAAAAGCCGATTCTGCTAACTTCTCTCGTCGAAAGCTAAACACAGACTGAACGAACGACGCTATTCACGCTAATCGTGCTACCACAATAAGCTATCTTTTCGTGAGAAATAATTAAAGAACTCGACTCGTCCCTCTTAGACACTGTTACTGCACTTTTTCTGAACATCAAATATTTTGCATGCTTAGTAGTAAATTTATATTGATTATTTTAGCCTTTTTGCTAAACGCTTCGTAAACGCTTCGTCATTGGCTGACTCCTCGAACCACTACACGTGTCCAACAACATCTGGCAACTGTTACGTGTCGCGTTCGGAACGCGTTCGGTCGAAGCTCAGGTGCTGAGATTATTTTTATGATGAGTCATTAGTAATATAGATATAGCATATATTACCAGTTACTCATACCACTTCATTTTTAATATTTCTCTAAGTGTGATAAGGTCATCAGTTTTCAATGCATGGACTCTTATCTTGTAACTATTTGTGTACATCAGAATTTCATAATTACTTTCCGTAATCCAATCTTTATTGGCTTGAAAAACGAAATCTGTATTCATCTGTAATTTTTACTATCGCAGGGCATTGATAATATATACTTATATTCCAAATTTCAAGCAGATCCGTTCAGTTTTGGAGGACTTGTGAGTTGTTCGATTGAACTGAAATGATTGAAAAAATATAACTCAGTACTCAGTACTCACTGCAGTGAGTGACAGCGCGAATTTTCTCGTCGACGAAAACTTGAAGTCACGGACAGACGGACGGTCAGACATACGGACATGACGAGCACAGTAGGGCATTTTTTCAATAAAAGAGAAAATGCGTTAAAAAGGATTTATTTTGAATATATTTCTAGCAGTAAAGTGCAAAAATATATTAAAATATAAAGTGAATATATTTCTAGCAGCAGTTTCTCTTTCTTTGCCGCACAGCAAATAAGTTTGCCATTCAACTTTCGTTTGATCAACGCATTCACGGAGGTAAGTTGATACAATATGTTAACGTATGGCGATATATGTTAAATAATGGGTTTTTAACACTCAACCTTTTGTTACATTCTTGATGATATTAACCCTCGCATTGCAGGATAAAGAATGGGCGATAACCTCCTGGGCACATTCACTTGTCTGGCCAAATGCAACGCACCTTGATCCAATAAATAAAATATCGGTGTCAGCGTCATTAGGCCGTTAGATTTATAGCCGATTTGCAAGTTCGCAGAATATCCACAGGTTGTTGCTAGTCTCGAACACGCAACTCGACGATCCAATTGTTGTGCTTAACCGCCAGGCCTTGCAGATTCTGACCAAAACTGGCGCACAGAGCTGGGATCGAACCCGCACCTCTCTGCTCCAATCCTGTTACTCGGAACTGTAACCACTGGGCCACGCTGTCCAGCAGCTGGGCCGACTATCTTAGTTCAGATCTAATTATTCCTCGATGAAACGTTAGTAATTATTCTTCGAAGTATAAACCTCAAATAATACCTCTGTTATATCATCACCCACAGTGCATTGGTTACACTACGGGATTTGTCAGGTATGTACTCTTTTTCCCAGAAATGTTATTAACATAGCATTATTAAATCTCCCATCAGTACTATTTAAATAATGAGAAACGTTTTCCTTTTATTCATACTGCAGCTGCGGCAAGAAGCTTTACGCCGACTACATCCCGTGGGACGTGACCTCCCTCCCCCATCGTCATGTTAGGGTGGGGAGTGACGGAACAACCTCGTACCCCCTTTAATCAAAGGTAAAAAAACGCCCCCTCATACCAGAATGTATTTATAATTCCTGTTCACGCGAGGTCATGGGGAACGAGTGATCATACACTCGAAAAAACTAGTGAGTTATGTTGTCTAACTGCTGACACGCTTTCCACACGGAGCAATGTTACGCTTCTTTGCCTGGACTCACAACTGGAAGCAGTGCGTCGGTATTTAGACAGATCTCGCTCAATACTCTGAGTGTGCCAGCTCGGAGAGCTGAACTAGCAACGCGACGGTACACGCGGGATGGGAAACTCAAATAAAAACGGCGGCTGGTACCCATTATTAAATAATATTTACACACGGCCATTTTATGAGCGGTTGAGAATGTCGACCTTTGTTATGGTCAAACTGAGAATTACGCTCACGGTTCATCGTAAAGTTACGGTCATCGTGGTAATTATCGCTGACTTACGACAAGCGTAATTTTAAGAGTTACAATCGTGGAAAAATGATAGTAAGTTAGGTCCACCACAGCACTTGCGACCACCACAGCACTTGCGACCACCACAGCACTTGCGACCACCACAGCACTTGCGACCACCACAGCACTTGCGGCCACCACAGCACTTGCGAAAATTTTTTCAACAGAATATGACGTTGTTAAATAAATTCCTTTTTAAAATACAGCAAAATGTGTAAGAAATCATTCCATTTTTCCTTGTTAAAAATCGATTTTATGAAATACAATTCAACAAACAGAGAAAGACAAATATATATACCATATATATATCATACGATACATATACATGATATATATATACACTAGTCATAAGCTCTGTCATAATGGGCACAGCAATAACTTTTATTCTAAAAAGTATCGGTTCCAGGAGTGATGATAAGAATAGCATTAAAGGACGCAATGTAATGCTATTCCTACCTGAACTTGAGAACAGAGGGAGAGGAGAATGCCCAGGACGTAAGTATTATGTACAATAATTACACAACGGTTTGTACACAGACCACACAGCGGTGTGTACACACGTAATATGCATACAATAGGAGAGGCTGTACATGTATGGAACACAGGAGATATTTATACAGTCATCGTACACGGAAAAAAATCGGGACAGCCACACCGACATGCCACAGCCACACCTGACATGCCACATCCACACCTGACAGACATGCCACAGCCACACCTGACATGCCACAGGAACACCCTACATGCCACAGCCACACCTGACATGCCACAGCAACACCTGACATGCCACAGCCACACCTGACATGCCACAGCAACACCTGACATGCCACAGCCACACCTGACATGCCACAGCAACACACCTGACATGCCACAGCCACTCCTGACGTGCCACAGCCACTCCTGATATGCCACAGCCCCACCGGGCATGCCACAGACATTCAACCATTCAACATGGACATTCAATCAGTCACCATAAGAAAATTTTAAGATCTAAACTGAGTTTCAACAACGACATTTTTACAAAGTACAAGAGATTCACTGTACAAAGCATTATTAATCAATTGATTTCATAATATTCTTCATATAATACTTCCTCTTCAGAGAATATTTGCTAGAATAATGTCTGGAAGCTCACGGCCTACATAGCTTCTACAACAAAGTTTTCGATGTCACATGAATAATGAATATTTCTCTTACTTTCTACAGTTGTGTTTGTAAATTGTTATGGGTCACAATATCAATGATTTAAGCAGACACTTGGCATGTAAAATTTCTAATTTCTCCTCACGATCAGACTTCACAGTGATAACGATATCCAATATCCATTGTAATGTAGACGAAGCCATTACGCCATGTAGACGAAGACGTAACAGACCTCATGCCATGTTGTCGACAATGTTACATCATGTAGACAAAGACATAATGTTGTGTATAGGAAAGCGTTGATGAAGATCTCATGCCATGTAGATGAAAACGTTGATAGAGTCCTCATGCCATGTAGACAGAGACGATGATGGGGACCTCATGCCATGTAGACAGAGATGTTGATGGAGACCTCATGCCATGTAGATGAATACGATGATGGAGATCTCATGCCATGTAGACGAAGACGATGATGGAGACCACATGCCATGTAGACGAAGATGTTGATGGAGATCTCATGTAGATGAAGACGTTGATGAAGGTTTCACGCCATGTAGACGAAGACGTTGATGGAGTCTTCGTCCCGCCTCATGTACTTGTGTTCGATGAGCCACTCGATCTGCTCCTTGATGAGCTTCTTGCTCGGCAGGAACATGTTCTTCAGCATCTCGACAAGCTCCGTCTGCAGCTGAGCGTTGCTTAGACGCTTCCGCATCTTCAGTATTTTTACTATCGCCTCCTGCAACATAAAAGAATAAGTAAGTCAACACTATCGCAGCACGATAATTCAAGTCAATCAACTAAAGGCCACTAGCCATCAACAAACACAGCAGTTGCACTGCACGTGGTCGATATTCACATCACTGATGTTAAAGAGCAGGTTGATAAAATTTCCTTCGTAAATTCAGTCAAATTACATAAGGATTTGTAGGATTAGAATACTGTGCAGGCATAGCAAGGGTAACTGTGTACATTATATGCTCAGGTACCTGCATATACAGTCCCTGTACCTGTGTACGCAATATCCTGAGCTGCAAGCAGGCCCCCGTACCTGTGTATGCAGTATCCGGAGCTGCACACAGTCCCCCGTACCTGTGTACGCAGTATCTTGAGCTGCACGCAGTCCCCCATACCTGTGTACGCAGTATCCTGAGCTGCACGCAGTCCCCCATACCTGTGTACGCAGTATCCTGAGCTGCACGCAGTCCCCCATACCTGTGTACGCAGCCCCCGTACCTGTGTACGCAGGCCCCCGTACCTGTGTACGCAGTATCCTGAGCTGTACGATGCCCTCGTTGTCCACCTCCCTGGTCTTCTCAGTGCTGAGCTGCAGGCGTCCGATCAGATTCACCTTCCCCCGCTTCTGGGCCTTGCCATTCTTTCTGCAAAACACAAGCAATATTAGCAAATTAATTAAATAAAATATTGAATATAAATAAATTTAATGCAATAAATTATATAGATATAACGCTAAAATATTATATATATAGCACTAACACTACTTAATTACAAATCTAAAATGATATAAATGAAATGTAAACATTAATATAATATAACGCAATGAATTACAGACTCACATGGGTGCAAAGTCCTGGTTCACCCATCACCCATCCCTGACTCACATGGGAGCAAAGTCCTGGTTCACCCATCACCCATCCCTGACTCACATGGGGGCAAAGTCCTGGTTCACCCATCACCCATCCCTGACTCACATGGGGGCAAAGTCCTGGTTCACCCAGAAGAGGGTGCTTTCCTCCAGGTCCTTTGGACTGGCCACCTCAGGCTCGTACAATAAAACTTGTCTTCTCATCTTCGGGAAAGCAACTAAGCTCTGCAACGAGGAAATTCATTAGCATTGGCATGAGTAATTATTGTTAAATTATTATAAATTAGTACAATTATACTTAATTATAATGTACCTGGTGAGTTTTGAGCAGTAGGTAATTATTATTGTTTGAATAGTGCAACAATAATAATTTTATTGCTGCAAAATCAGCAACATGAAAAAAACATGCATGCGTCGAGAGCAACCCACTCACATGTCCACCCACCCCTATGCTGGCAACCCACCCACATGCCGACAACCCACCCACATGCCGGCAACCCACCCACATGCCAGCAACCAACCTGCATGACCTCAACCCACCCCCATAACCTCAACCCACTCATCAACCCACCCATAACGTCCTCCTGAGCTCAGGGTCGGGTAACTCGGTGGCAAGTCTGAGGTTATCGAAGGTAATTCTCTGGTCCTGCCGCTGGTTCCAGGAGAACAGCACCGCCATCTGGAACGTGGTCACGTCCAGGTCGTAGCGCCCCTGCGCGTTCGCGAACGTGATCTGCAATAATTATTTTCAATTAATTATTGATCAATTGTGATTAATTTAATAATCATAGGTGATTAATTAGAGATCAATGGTTAATAATCTTATGTTGATACCTTAATTGTGCTTAAATATGGCCCCATTAGGAACATTACTCAAGTGATGATGCCATCATGACCCACCGTGCCATTACTCATGTGGTGGTGCCATCATCACCCATCATGACCCACCGTGCCATTNGGTCGTAGCGCCCCTGCGCGTTCGCGAACGTGATCTGCAATAATTATTTTCAATTAATTATTGATCAATTGTGATTAATTTAATAATCATAGGTGATTAATTAGAGATCAATGGTTAATAATCTTATGTTGATACCTTAATTGTGCTTAAATATGGCCCCATTAGGAACATTACTCAAGTGATGATGCCATCATGACCCACCGTGCCATTACTCATGTGGTGGTGCATCATCACCCATCATCACCCACCGTGCCATTACTCATGTGGTGGTGCCATCATCACCCATCATGACCCACCGTGCCATTACTCATGTGGTGGTGCCACTGCAGTTTGCGGCCGCTGTGTTTGCTCCTGTAGAAGTCCTCCACCTCAGGGATGAAGTCCTCGAGCTGTAGCGGCAGCGACACCTGCACCCGGTCACCCGCGCGCGCCCACGCCCCCGCGTTCAGGATCTTCAGGTTCAGGTTGTCTGCGAGATATGTTTAATGATTAATAATATATATGAATACTGTTTAAATATGAGCTTCAGGTTCAGGTTGTCTGCGATGTATATTTAATTATTAATAATATGATATAATTGGATATTTATATATATGGTTCAGGTGTCTGTACATGAAATTATAATGTAATTGAATAATATTTATAATATATAAGGTTCAGGTTCACGTTGTCTGTGATAGATATTTAATAGTTAATGTGTATAGATATTTTACATTTTTTCTTGTGTGAATAGAAAAAAAATATGAGGTTCTATGAATGTTTTTTGTGCACGTTTAACAACACTGAACTAAATTCCTTGCCCAACTGAAATAATTATATAAAAATGATGAATAAAATAATAATAAGAAAAAATTAATCAAATAATAATAAAATAAAATATAATATTCATGGTAATGCCTAATGAAATATTGCAGGGGTTCTGCTATTGTAATTAAAAGAACAGATTTGTTATAAATTTGAATATTGCGTTGTATTAGGAGAAAATATAATAATATTTCCAGGTGACGGCAGAAGCTGTGCAAGACGTACAAAAATATGTCCATCTCTGCTGTGATATAAATGCAAGACTAATACATGGATACATACTATATAACATATATCCATATAAAATATGTATCCAATATAAATGGAATAATAATATAATTACTATATTATAAATAAAAAAAAATAGGATAATCCGAAATTATGGACATCTTTAGACCTGCACCACGCCTTTGACCCCCACCTGCACCACGCCTTTGACCCCCACCTGCACCACGCCTTTGACCCCCACCTGCACCACGCCTTTGACCCCCACCTGCACCACGCCTTTGACCCCCACCTGCACCACGCCTTTGACCCCCACCTGCACCACGCCTTTGACCCCCACCTGCACCACGCCTTTGACCCCCACCTGCACCACGCCTTTGACCCCCACCTGCACCACGCCTTTGACCCCCACCTGCACCACGCCTTTGACCCCCACCTGCACCACGCCTTTGACCCCCACCTGCACCACGCCTTTGACCCCCACCTGCACCACGCCTTTGACCCCCACCTGCACCACGCCTTTGACCCCCACCTGCACCACGCCTTTGACCCCCACCTGCACCACGCCTTTGACCCCCACCTGCACCACGCCTTTGACCCCCACCTGCACCACGCCTTTGACCCCCACCTGCACCACGCCTTTGACCCCCACCTGCACCACGCCTTTGACCCCCACCTGCACCACGCCTTTGACCCCCACCTGCACCACGCCTTTGACCCCCACCTGCACCACGCCTTTGACCCCCACCTGCACCACGCCTTTGACCCCCACCTGCACCACGCCTTTGACCCCCACCTGCACCACGCCTTTGACCCCCACCTGCACCACGCCTTTGACCCCCACCTGCACCACGCCTTTGACCCCCACCTGCACCACGCCTTTGACCCCATCTGCACCACGCCTTTGACCCCATCTGCACCACGCCTTTGACCACACCTGCAGCACTCCTTTGACCCCCACCCGCACCACGCCTCTGACCCAGATCTTTGACCCCCTGCACCACGCCTTTGACCCACATCTTTGACCCCACCTGCACCACGCCTTTGACCCCAAACATTACGCCTTTGACCCAGATCTTTGACCCCCTACACCACACGTATGCCCGTTACCCGCGACGCTGCCCCTGGTGGCCCGCATGTGGTCCTTGAAGAGCTGGTTGAGGTCGTCGGACACCTTCATGTCCTGGAACATGCGCGCCAGCTTGTTCACGTAGTCCGCCGGCATGCCGACCTCCCGCAGCCTGCGGTCATTGTTGTTAATTAATTATATTACTTAATTAATTATATTAATTATTAGCCGACCTCCCGCAGCCTGCGGTCATTGTTGTTAATTAATTATATTACTTAATTAATTATATTAATTATTAGCCGACCTCCCGCAGCCTGCGGTCATTGTTGTTAATTAATTATATTACTTAATTAATTATATTAATTATTAGCCGACCTCCCGCAGCCTGCGGTCATTGTTGTTAATTAATTATATTACTTAATTAATTATATTAATTATTAGCCGACCTCCCGCAGCCTGCGGTCATTGTTGTTAATTAATTATATTACTTAATTAATTATATTAATTATTAGCCGACCTCCCGCAGCCTGCGGTCATTGTTGTTAATTAATTATATTACTTAATTAATTATATTAATTATTAGCCGACCTCCCGCAGCCTGCGGTCATTGTTGTTAATTAATTATATTACTTAATTAATTATATTAATTATTAGCCGACCTCCCGCAGCCTGCGGTCATTGTTGTTAATTAATTATATTACTTAATTAATTATATTAATTATTAGCCGACCTCCCGCAGCCTGCGGTCATTGTTGTTAATTAATTATATTACTTAATTAATTATATTAATTATTAGCCGACCTCCCGCAGCCTGCGGTCATTGTTGTTAATTAATTATATTACTTAATTAATTATATTAATTATTAGCCGACCTCCCGCAGCCTGCGGTCATTGTTGTTAATTAATTATATTACTTAATTAATTATATTAATTATTAGCCGACCTCCCGCAGCCTGCGGTCATTGTTGTTAATTAATTATATTACTTAATTAATTATATTAATTATTAGCCGACCTCCCGCAGCCTGCGGTCATTGTTGTTAATTAATTATATTACTTAATTAATTATATTAATTATTAGCCGACCTCCCGCAGCCTGCGGTCATTGTTGTTAATTAATTATATTACTTAATTAATTATATTAATTATTAGCCGACCTCCCGCAGCCTGCGGTCATTGTTGTTAATTAATTATATTACTTAATTAATTATATTAATTATTAGCCGACCTCCCGCAGCCTGCGGTCATTGTTGTTAATTAATTATATTACTTAATTAATTATATTAATTATTAGCCGACCTCCCGCAGCCTGCGGTCATTGTTGTTAATTAATTATATTACTTAATTNTGGTGTCTTGCGCAGCAGCACCACACCACACCACACCACAGCACAGCACAGCACCACAGCACAGCACCACAGCACAGCACCAGAGCACAGCACCACAGCACAGTACCACAGCACCACAGCACGCACCACATCCCTGAGTTTAGCCTCTATCTGCTCGGACGTGAGCTTCTTGCTGAGCGGCGTCTTGCGCAGCAGCAGGTCGCAGTAGTTCGCCAGCAGCTCCGGACACTTGCTCTCCGGCTGTGTCTTCTGGTTCACGCCTCTCTGTGCACACAATACATGTGTAAATATACAATAATAAACAATGTATAAATATAAATGACCTCTATAAATGATATAGAAATTAGCCCCCACTTATTTCAAGTCAACGTTAAAAAATAATGCCATAAAACCAAGGCAGTGAACCCCAAGTTATATCAAGTATCAAGTCAACATAAAAAGATAACGTCATAATCAAGGCAGTGTCTTTGCTTCACGCCTCTCTGCAGGCACAATACGTGTATTAATATACAATAATTATACATAAACAATGTAGTATAAATGCTATAGCATAGATTTTAAACCCCAAATTATATCAAGTATCAGGAAAACGTCAAAAAATGTCGTAACTAAGGCTGCATCTTTTGCTTTACACCTCTCTGCACACACATAATACGTCTATAAATAAACAATAATTATACATAAATAATCTTAGAGTTATAATGCTTCTTGTTAGAGCTTAACAGGCCAACAATTCAGTAATTCAACACACATTTCAACACATCTCACGCCTGTGTAACCCACTGGTTCTTGTTAGGGGCCAACAGGCACACAATTCAAGTAATTCAACAAACATTTTAACACACGTAACGCCTGGGTAACCCACAGGATTCCCTGTGTGGACCAACAGGCACACATTTCAAAACATATCTAACGCCTGTGTAACCCACACGTTTCTAGGTTTGCAGGCCAGTGAACACACAACCCAACACACATTTCAAAACACGCGACGCCTGTGTAACCCACGTGTAACCCACGGGATTCTGGATTGGTGAGCCAGTAAACACACATTTCAACACAAATTCCACACACATTTCAACACATCCCACGCCTGAGTAACCCACGGGTTCTTATTAGGGGCCAGTATACACACATTTCAACACACATTTCAACACAGATATCAACCCACAACCAAACACACAAATCAACACACATTGCAACACACAACCAAAACACAATTCAACACACGTAACGCCTGTATGACCCACGGGGTTCTTGGTGGGGAGCGTATACACACATTTCAACACACATTTCAACACAGATATCAACCCACAACCAAACACACAAATCAACACACATTGCAACGCACAACCAACACACAATTCAACACACGTAACGCCTGTATGACCCACGGGGTTCTTGGTGGGGAGCTCGAGCCTGAAGACCGAGGTGTCGTCCACGACCTGCTTGTAGGCCTTGTCCCGCGCCGTCAGGAACCGCGGGTCGTCGTTGAACGCGTCCTTCACCAGCAGACTGAACCTCTGGAACAGCTGCAGTAGCTTGTCCACGTACTGCTCCGAGTCCTGGGGGCGTTAGGGGGCGTTAGGGGGGCGCTGGAACAGCTGCAGCAGCTTGTCCACGTACTGCTCCGAGTCCTGGGGGCGTTAGGGGGCGTTAGGAGGCGCTGGAACAGCTGCAGCAGCTTGTCCACGTACTGCTCCGAGTCCTGGAGGAGAGGAGGGCGTTAGGGGGCGTTAGGGGGGCGCTGGCACAGCCAGCCTGTCAGCAACACACCTGCGTGATGGCGTCAGCAGCAGCCAGCATGTCAGCCAGGCCGGCGCTGACGATGTGGTCCTCGAGGTCCGTCAGCATCTGCGTGACACCACCAGCGATGCGGTCCATCAGCGAGAACATCAGCCGCAGCTCTGCGGGCATGTGGGGGTTACCGCAGGGACCACACATACGCACTGCCCCACTCATGACCCACTCAAGACCCACTCTCCGTCTCATGACCCACTCTCCGTCTCATGACCCACTCTCCGTCTCATGACCCACTCTCCGTCTCATGACCCACTCTCCCTCTCATGACCCACTCTCCGTCTCATGACCCACTCTCCGTCTCATGACCCACTCTCCGTCTCATGACCCACTCTCCGTCTCATGACCCACTCTCCGTCTCATGACCCACTCCCCATCTCATGACCCACTCTCTGTCTCATGACCCACTCTCCGTCTCGTTGTCCCGGATCATTTGTTTGCACTCCGCCAGGATGGTGTCCCTGAAGGCCATCACCAGCACCTCCACGCAGCAGTCGTTCAGCTGCATCAACAAATCATCTATTAACTCCATTATATTTACGCAGTTCCTCCTCCCGCAGTTTGGTGTCAGCGTAGCGCATGTAGTTCTGCACCCCGTTGGCTGAGAGATATTCTGGCGCCTTCACTTGGTAGAAGGTGCGCGTCGCGTTGATATATGCCTGTGAAATAAGTGAGTCTTACTGATGCACTTACAGTGTGTCATCCTGACCCAGTTATGACCGGGAAATGCGGGGGATGTGGGGGTTACAATTCCTATTATGTCCTATAGTGATGTCCGTTTTCTGTGGTAAATAACTGACTAAGTCTTGCTTATTGATGCACTTAGAGTGTGTCATCCTGACCCAGCTATGCCGGGGAAATGGGTGTATCAGTGATGTATGTTTTCTGTGGTAAATAACTGACTAAGTCTTGCTTATTGATGCACTTAAGAGTGTGTCATCCTGACCCATTTATGACCGGGAAATGGGCTTATCAGTGATGTCTATTTTCTGTGGTAAATAAGTGACTAAGTCTTGCTTACTAATGCACTTAAGAGTGTGTCATCGTGACCCAGTTATGCCCAATAAAAGTGCTATATTTGTTCTCAGCAAATGCTTGGAGGTAATAAAGTGTCTTTATTTGGATCATATGAACCATTCATGTTTCTGAGTGAATCAAGAGATATGAGGATGAAAGAAAAGTGAGACTAGACACGAGTGGGAGGGGAGGAAGGCAAATTGAGAATAACGTTAAGAAACTTATTTTAAACATTACTTCCACTCAAGTATACTAATATTCACATGCACTATCACTCACCAGTTCAAAGTTTTGTCTATAAATGAGCAGTTTGTCGGTGGGATTACTACAGAGGTTGACATAACTCTCGCGTACTCCTATCACAAGTTGCGAGTCGAAGGCTTCCCCGTTGCGCTCCGCTGCGACTAACTTCATGGCCGAGTCTTGTAACCTCTGCTTGATGTTGCTGAAGATGCTGCTGTTCCAAGAGTCTAACATCAGCTGTGGGTGATAGAAAACAAGGCTAACATCAGCTGTAAATTATGAAAACTGCTAAGGATGAATTTAATTGCAATCAATATAGACACAAATTTTTCAAAAAGTCACCAAATTTATTACAAATAATGTAATTCAAAAATCAAAATGCAAAAATGTTATTGATACACTGTCTATTTACTAAAAAATATAGCTCAGTACTCACTGCAGTGAGTGACAGAGAGCGCATTTTCTTGTCGGCGAAAACATGAAGTCACGGACAGACAGACAGACAGACGGACGGACAGACGAACATGGCGAGCACAATAGTGCATTTTTTCCATAAATGAGAAAATGCGCTAAAAATGGCATTGTTTCTCTCACACATAGCCCATATAAATTCTCTGAGTAACTTAAGTGAAAGCAAATGACAGCGTTTAAAGAAAATTTTGAGTAACTAAAGTAAGAGCAAATTATACTAACTAGTATTTAACAAAATTTATATAGTATGGGTAATTTAAAAACTAAGAAATATAGAGCAAAATCAAGCAACATTATTCAAATAAGTCATTCACCTTTCTGACGACGGACTGGTCGGTGTGGAGTTTCTTACAGACGGAGGTGGAGGTCTTGCCCTGCAGGACGGTCTCGAGTTGGTTGAAGGGCAGCGGCAGGTAGTTGCATTGCTGGAAGAACTTCCTCCACTCGCTGATGTACCCCTTCAGCAGCGCCTGGTCCTCTTGGTGGGCCAGCACACGCTGTCGGACATCAGGTTTTGTGAGACTAAAAATGCTATGGGCTGGAGCTTAAATTTTATCAGACAATGAATGACATTTTTACATCTGAAGGAAAGTCAGTATATAAATTTTTGCTGCTAAGTAGAAGGCATGAGAGGTATAATTGCTCTAAAGTAGAAGGCATGAGAGGATTGAGAGAAGGAGGCATGATATATTTATCATTACCATCATAGGAATGAGAATTTAAATGGCAAGGATGAACCATTATTTGTATGAAGAAATTAAATGACTAATGAGAATAATTAAATGAATCATATACAATCATATACTTTTATAATGGCAATGATGCCAATTTCACAAGTTCACAACATCAACAGAACTTAGTACCTAGTATCTAAAACTCCAACCAATTTAAAAAACATGGTTGCGAGAAATGTGGACATTTAAAACTAGGTAAATAAGAGACGAATTCTAAACGTATGGTAATGACACTAATAACTAAAATTACAACATAACTGTTTAATTGAAACATTTAGAAGGATCATAGAGCAACATTTGCTATGGCATGAAAAATGGAGAATGAAAAAAAAAACTTCAAAAAAGTTTTGACCTTCACAGGAGGAAGGCAAATAAATCCTTCCATTCATTTAAAACATGATCAATCCATATTATTTATCATGATCAATCCATATTATTTATCATGATCAATCCATATACAATAACACAAGTTATTTATCCGTAGTGTATATTGCCTAAAACTACACATGGAATATTAAGACTCAGAATAGATATTTCGGAGCACAAGAATATACAGGAAGCATATACATAACATTTACAATTTATAAACTAATGGGCTAGGCAATTAGCAAGCTTACAAAAATATTTCTAACCTTGGTCATAACTTACAGTGATATGATAAAAAACAAACCTCAGAATACCTATATCCAAAAACATGGATATCTATGTACACATGAAACATTCCTTCCATTGCAAACCAATTTAAACCAAAGAACTATATTAGTTGTTTATGATGTCAAGATGAGGTGTCAAAATATTATTGAACACTCAAATTAAATGCAAAATAAATCAGTACTAACTGCTTGTACACCAGTAATAAAATTAAGTATATCGTCCTGCAAGGCTGTTTGTATCCTGGCGGCCCCCTTCTCGTCCCACAGGCAGACTTTGTGTACGGTCCAGAAGAGGTCGTGCCACTCGGCCCGGGACACGGACTCCTGACGTAACAACTTCAGGACTGTGGGGCGCATACACGGCCATTTCTCTTCAAATGTTACTGTGTTCTTCTCTCCCTGCGGCAACCATATGCAATGTTGATGAGAACAAATATTATTTTTACTGATATCATGTTATGTCTTAAAAAATTTTGTTATGGATTATCAAATATGAAGTACTTAAATATTAAAAAAATATATTAAAAAAATTCTAGTTCAAAATTTCATGGATATTTTGAAGAAAAAAATTTTTAAAACACTTTTGTTACAGACATCAAATATGAACAGTTAAAAAATTATTATTCTGATTTCCCAGGTGTATTTTGAACCAGAAAACTATAAGAACTATTTAGAGAGATATTTGTTACAAAGCTATTTTTTATATCCTAAAAGGTGAGTGTCAGAGTAAAGTAAATAAAGAAGTAAATAAAGAACAGTAAAATTTAGTATTTACTCTTCTAAAAGAAGAGTAAATACTAAAAGAAGAGTATTTATCATGTATCAGATATAGGCAATAATGATGTATTAAGAGAAATGCACAGGCGTTTGATCCTCATGCTGAAATTATAGAAAAATATATTTATGACAGTGATAAGAAAGCTGTAGTCACAGAGCACATTCAGATGTTGTGTCTTAGTCATTTATAGAAATTCTTGAACACAAATAACTTCTGCCAGTATAAATTATATCCACCAGCAAATGATAGTTCAGTTGGAAATCTTTTGGAATAAAATATTTGTGAAATGAATATATTTACCACCAATAATTTAATTTCTGAATATCAAGTTAGGAAAACTCTTACTTTTTCACTAAGAGAAAAGTGCAGGAACATATTTGTGTAGTTACAGTGAATTTAAAGTCAGATGGCTCCAAAACCATGCAATTGGGTTCCATCAGAAATTAGTGGATTGTCATGTATATTTAATTCCAATAAATTTCAATGTTTTGAAACTCGGTGAAATTTTTTTCCATACTAAATATTTTGCTGACTTTCTTGTAGCTGCATTTGAGATATCATTATAAAATGGTAAAAAAATTACTATTAAATGCTAAAATTTGTTTTACACTTTTGTTAATAAAAAGATTAGAGAAAATTCATCAATTGGTAATCTTGTGGTTCCCAAAATGGCAAGAAAACTTTAGTCATAACTTGGGAAGTAGGTATATTCCATGACCTCACCCCCTTATTCCATGAAGTAGGTAGGTATATTCCATCATAGTCACTAATCAGAGTTTTTTTAGCATCAGTTTATTTTTAATTTCCTCATTTATTCAAGATTTATTTAATATCTTATGTATGATAAGGCTGGTGTCCATGATACTTTACTGGTCTACTTATAGGACTCAAAATTCAAATTGAATTTAGTTTAGACTCTATTTTTGGGTCTAAATAACTTTCCACTTTGCCACTAAGCAGCTACTAATGCTAATGGTGCAAAAACACTAGTTCTAATATTGCAATTACACCAATTAATGTATTTGGCAGAAGCTTCTCTTTTATGCAAGTTTGATTGAAGACCAGAGCATGCTTTTTATTAACAATCTTCTTGTTCATCTTTTCAATGAGTCAAACCAAATTTCTAGCTGAAGCCAGGAGATCAAATAGCAGGTTTCTGAATGACATTTCAATAGATTGTGATGTTTCAAAAATACAATTTTCATTATCAAGCTATCTCTGTCTCTCGCACCCAGCTCCCGGGTTCTCTGTCTCTCGCACCCAGCTCCCGGGTTCTCTGTCTCTCGCACCCAGCTCCCGGGTTCTCTGTCCCTCACACCCATCTCCCAGGTTCTCTGTCTCTTGCACCCAGTGCCCAGGTTCTCTGTCTGCCGCACCCAGCTCCCGGGTTCGAGTCCCACCGAGGACAAGATCTACCGGGAAGCTCAGCTCATGGTCAACTCAGCCATTCATCCAACTCTGGTTGATAAATGAGTACCTGGCTTGTCCAGGGTGTTGTGTAATGCAATCAAATGGTTCTGGCCAGTCAGCAAGAAAGTGATAGTTGTGGAACTACCAGTGGCATTAAGTGCAAGGAAAAGCTGACCTATCACCCCCCTCCCTTGCCTAGTTGCCACTACCAGGATGGGCAATTACAATAACAACAACAAGATAGTTGGGAGCTAAGAGCTTGCTGTCAGACATTGCACTGTACATCAATCAAGGCAACATGGCATTTGACATGTAATGCCATATTACCACGATACTTTATGGCGTACAGTACATCATTAAGCAAGTATCTTTGGAAATGTTTTATGGGCCATTCTAGACTTAAAATATGCTTCAATTCTTTTTAAATTTAATAAAATTGTATACTTTTTGCTTGCTATTGTTGCATATCAACAAAAAACTTTTAGCAGAGTAATTCAATTCTTTATTAATTTTCTCTTATGACTGTAACTTAAAGAGAACTTATCACAGATAGACTTCATTGCATACCTGTCTGGGGAAAGTAGTGTCAAAAAAGTTTTCACATTTTACTTGAAAATGCTCATTTCAGGTGACATATTTCACATGCAACATAGCATGAAAATATGGGGATACAACTTTTACAATAAATTAGTAGCATAAACACATATCTAGTACCTACTTTATATTAGCAATCAATATCAAGACACTTTTGTAAACCTTACATTTGATCAAACAGAGTAGACCAATCTGTTCAAAATGCGGTTTTGAGTGACATATATAGCCAAATTATAATAGGTATATATGATATATGATAAGAGAATATTTTGAAGTTTCTCAATGATAATAGCATTGAAACCTATGTGAAACCATAAATTTTTAATATTTTTTAGATATTTCATAACTTAAAACCTGAGTTTAATATGTACTTTTATTTAGAAAAAATTCAAATTTCTTGCTGGTTGAACTGTTTTTGTTATTATTGGCCAATGCTGTCTATGGCATACTTAGTAAGCAGTTGTGTCTTGTGAGATGTGGTGCTAATATCTTGCAGGATTGGAATTTTCCTACTTGTTCCTGAAATCTCAAGGCTCCAATGTGACAAATTTTCAATACATTTGGAATCTTGCAGCCCTGAGCCCAATCATGCACTATTGTTACCAATTAGATAGGAGGTAATTCATCTGGCGGAAATCTAGTGGATCTGGAAATGGCGGGAAAGCTCTAGTCAAGGCCCTTAAAGACCTCCATGCTTGGTATCTTGTAGAACAGTGCATTGATTGGTCCAAAATTGCAAAATACTATGTTCTTTTATATTACCTATAGAAGTGAACCATGCCACCACTCTTTATGACCTTATGAAGAGCTTGGGACTTCCTAGTCCCTGGTCTGACCAGGGTGCAGAAAGTGGGTGAATATCAAAGGATATTTGGTGACGCATCAGCAGCAAAATGTATGCCTTCAGGAGATCTTGTCAACACATTTGAATTGAAATTGTTGCATTTTAGAAATTACTTCAAAATTATTGGAAATATAAAAAACCGCAAGTGCACACAGTAAGGTTTCCGGCATGCCTAAAGGATCAGGATGCAGTGAAGCTTGTCTGGACATCAGTTGCGTTGTGTGTAAGTGTTGCGGTGCAAGGATAGTAAGGGATATACCTACTATCAAAGTTGCTTGCAGCACACACTAAAAATAACCCAGCAATGGATCTTGAAAATGCTGGCAATGCTTTGGGATAAAAAAGCATATTTTGGAAATGCAGCTTGCACCCTCTGCAGCCGGGCCTGGTCATGCTGATGCTTGACCAGATGCTTTTACAATGAACGCATGGAACTAAAACAAAGCTTAATATAAAGGAAAAACTAGAGAGGTGACGGAAATCACGGAATTACCCACGATGACGGAATATACCGCGTTTACCCTACTAGTTAACTAAATACTTGACTTAAACTGATCCATACTTTGTCCTGATCATTACAAACAAAAGGCCTGGAAAATTTAAAAAATCAATTAAGTAAAAGACAAATAAAAAATATCTATCAAACAAGTGACATGTAAATAATTCTTTTACAAATTTTATGTACTAGTATAAAATTGAAACATTTTGTCCACAGTCCATTTTTGATCCACCTTTTCATTTATAGTCACTTTAGTCATTCACTGTGGGAATGTCAAGAGCACTGTGGGAATGGGAAAGCTTTTCAGCTTGGGTGGAAAGCTTTTTAATAAGTGAACTTCCATTCTTAGAATTCCAGCCTGCCGGGCTTACCTCTCAATCTGAGAGTGAGTCAATAACAGAGATGTAAATTTGCTAACTAAAAAACAGTGAATTGATTAGGTATAAAAATCAGGAAGCATCATAAATGTATACATCGGCTGAATTATATATGCCTGAATTATTAGTGAATACAAGAAATTTTTCACGTTCAGTGGTTCTTACATGACGATGCCCATTTCCCAGCTCGGGCAACAAAACGGAAAAAATCTTCTCTAATATAAATATTGCCGACCATCAGATTTTTAAATTAAACGGTATTGAAAAATTGTTATTAAACAAGCTTAGAAAACACATTTTCTATACATACCATTTTAAGCAGAGCCATTTTTGATAAAATGTGTCAGAATCTGTTGTCGTTTTTGTTGTTTTTATAAGCGTGTATCTGCAGTTAGCCGTTGCTGCAGCGCGCACCTACGGGGTTTGAAAACATTATTCTTTTGCTTGCCTCAGTAACAGCTGAAAATTTAACGTGAGTCGATAATTGGAAAATAATTAATTATTAAACTTTAAATTTAATCAAATTTGTCACATACTTTTGCGTGCAGAATCAACGTGAAAAGTAAGTTGGAACTTTTGAAAATGATATCGAATATAAATCTGACAGAGATTGTATGACGCACTTAATCATTTTAAGTGATTTGGTAACAGTTATACACGATAGGACTAGCGAGTTCTGAAACATGTGAACGGAAAGACGACGTATAAAGGTGTTTAACTGTCACTCGAACAAAATTCATCAACTAAATTTACTTATGGACACACGCTGCAGCACATATGATGCAGACGGTATATCCGCTGATTATACATCTGGGTTGCATTACAGGCATCCCCCACGCCGTTAGTTAGAATTTTTTACTTTTACAATTCCCAAACCGTTCCATCGAGCAATTTCCTTCCTTACATTTCCCACTGTTCTTAGATATCTTTTTACTGCTTTCATCAAATTAGCAGTCGTGTCTCAATTTAACGACCAATTATTTTCCCGACCCCTCATATCATGCGCCTTATCTACATCCTTACGTTTAAAACCCCAACAACCTGTTCGCTCGTACCCAGCGCCATCACCTTCGGCTTCACGTTCAGGATCACCTACAACATTTCCAATATTCATCACTTGGACGCATTNTACATTTCCCACTGTTATTAGATATCTTTTTACTGTTTTCATCAAATTAGCAGTCGAGTCTCAATTTTAGCGACCTATTATTTCCCCGACCCCTCATGTCATGCGCCTTATCTACATCCTTACGTATAAAACCCCAACAACCAATTAGCTCGTACCCAGCGCCATCACCTTCGGCTTCACATTCAGGATCACCTACAACATTTCCAACATTCATCACTTGGACGCATTCATCAAACAGCCCCAAAATTTCTACGTCACCTCAATCTGCACGAAACGTCTCGCTTTTTATTGTTCACTCGGATGCAAGTGAAAATATTAAAATGTGTGGCCATGTCGCCATTAAAGTCACATTAATACGTGAATGAATATTATTTGATTGCCTAAACGTCAACAAAAATGTAGCTAAAAGGAAAGGAAATTATAGAAACGAAAGAAGGTACAAAAGTTTCAACGTTTTTGACAAAGAACAAAGCACTGCTACGTATGTTCATTTTTGTCGAGCTGTGACAAGTGGCCCAAGTGGGTCAGTTACCGAATATTCCAGACGAAACCATCCCCATCATCATATCATAGTGATGTCGGCGCTTAAAATTAGGCCTGCTTTGGCCTGTCGCCGACTCATAAACTTTTCCTAACATTTTTACATGATGTCTAATAAGAGGTCCTTTGATTTCAATTTATAATAAAAGAGGTCTGTGCGATGATGAAGGTGGAGACATAAACCATTGATTCCTGAACGTACCATAACGCTGTGTTCTGTTGACATGACTCAATTGGTCAGTTCATATGATATGATGATGAAGGTGAAGACATACTGTAAACCATTGATTCCTGAACGTACCACAACGCTGTGTTCTGTTGACATGACTCAATGGGTCAGTTCATATGATATGATGATGAAGGTAAAGACATACTGTAAACCATTGATTCCTGAACGTACCACAACGCTGTGTTCTGCTGACATGTCAATGGGTCAGTTCATAGACAGACATGTCAAATCATATTTTTGAGGTAATTATTTCGATTACATAGGTACAATTCATATTTATACAAAATAATAGTGAGGAAAATATCTGAAATGTCCTTTATTGTTTGCGAGCCAAAATTAATGTAGGCAAAATTTGTTATGATACAACGTTCACTTTAGCAAAGTAATGAAATTCGGAATCAAAATAAGCAGCCAATGAGAGTGAAATTGAAACCTCGGACACGCATTCTTGTATCGTGGAGTCAAATTCTTGTAATCAGAGAAATTGGCTGGGAGCGAGGTAAGCTAGATTCTGGCCAAGAATCAAACCTCACCTCTGGCGTCTCCGAAGCTTCAAGGAGTGTAGCACCACCGTGACCACAGCTGCTGAGCAGGAGTACGTCCGAGCTCCAGGTAGGGGAACCACGCTCTCGTCGAGCCACCACAACGTCAGATCAAGAGGCGAGCAGGACCGCGGCCGAGGTAAGATGCTGCAGGTATGCCTTCCAAAAACTGCTAGGCAAACACAGGTGAAGCGGGAGCACAGAGCGGTTAGGGTGGTGTAGGAAATCTGCATATTATTGCTGCAATTATTCTTCTTTGGGTTCGGCTTGACACCGGCCAGAAAAGAGGATTATTTATGACTAACAAATTTAAAATGAATTCCACCCGATTTTTGCACATTTCTCTTATTATTAAACATTAATTATATTTAGCAAATTCTCTCAAGTTCTTTGTACAACTACTTCACTTTGCAAACAGCACCACCTTGTAATATTTGCATCACCTTGTAATATTTTTCAACAAGCGTCATTACGAAACAAAGCAAATCTCCCTAACGATCACTAATCATATGATTTTATCAAGTCCAAACATCATTAACATCAGTCATCAGACCTCAAGATTGATCGTCTGCTGTCATTTGTCAGCTCGCTGCACTTGTACCAACACGCCTGAGGTTCGTAAAATGAAGGTCGCTCTGCAATGACAGAGCTGAGCACGTCAAACTTTTGCTTTAATTATATCAGCAATTCTACAATGTAAAAAATTCATTAGTGTGTAGAGGTAAATTGATACAATTTAGTAAAAAATAAAAACCTGACATTAACTGTACGCCGCATTTTTAGTCGTAAATCAAGTAAATGGATACAATTTGATGAAAAATAAAAAGCCTGACATATATTGTACGTCGTATTTTCGGCCGCCACACACGCTTCGGCTGGAGCGTCCGTACTTTACGATAAGAATGAAATATTCGGTGAGAGTTGGCGCTGAAATTTCGTGGTCAAATGGTTCTCTAACAAGAATATACAGGAGCATATACATAACATTTACAATTTATAAACTATGTAGTTAAGTAATGAGCTAGGTAATTAGCAAGCTTATGAAAATCTTTCCAATCTTGGTCATAAGTTACACTGATTTTAGAATACAGGCCTAAAAACATGGATATCTATGTACACATGAAACATTCCTTCCATTGCAAACCAATTTAAACCAAAGAACTATATTAGTTGTTTATGTCAAGATGAGGTGTCAAAATATTATTGAACACTCAAATTAAATGCAAAATAAATCAGTACTCACAGCTTGTACACCAGTAATAAAGTTAAGTATATCGTCCTGCAAGGCTGTTTGTATCCTGGCCGCTCCCTTCTCGTCCCATAGGCAGACTTTGTGTACGGTCCAGAAGAGGTCGTGCCACTCGGCCCGAGACACGGACTCCTGACGTAACAACTTCAGGACTGTGGGGCGCATGCACGGCCACTTCTCTTCAAATGTTACTGTGTTCTTCTCTCCCTGCAACAACCAGGCACGATGTTTAGGAGAACAAATATTATGTTATGTCTTAAAAAATGTTGTTATGGATTATAAATGTTACTGTGTTCTCTCCCTGCAACAACCAGGCACAATGTTTATGAGAAGAAATATTATTTTTACTGATATCATGTTATGTCTTAAACAATTTTGTTATGGATATCAGATATGAAGTAGTTAAACATTCAAAAAACATTAAAAAAATACTAGTTCAAAATTCCATGCATAATTCTCTTCATATGTTACTGTGTTCTTCTCTCCCTGCAACAACCAGGCACATAATGTTGAAGAGAACAAATAATATGTTAAGTCTTGAACAATTTTGTTATGGATTATCAAATATGATGTAGTTAAATATTAAAAAATATATTTAAAAAAATTCTAGTTCAAAATTCTATGGGTATTTTGAAGAGAACTAATTTTTTAAAAAACAATTCTGTTACAGATATCAAATATGAACAGTTAAAAAATTATTATTCTGATTTTCCAGGCAAATTTTGGACCAGGAAACTATAAAAAATATTTTGAAAGGTATTTGTTACAAAATTATTTTCCAATACTATAAAGGAAGAGTATATTTATGATGCATCAAATGAACCAATGATTTACAAAAAGAAATGTACAAGAGTTTGATCCTCATGCTGAAATTATAGCAAAATATATTTATGACACAAACTCTAACAAAAAACTGTAGTTATTCATTGAATACGGTACATTCAGATGTCATGTACAGTATTAGCTTTTTATAGCAAATTTTTAAAACACGTATAACTTCTGTCAGTACAAATTATGTCCACCTGCAAGTAATATTTCAAAATGTTTATATTTCTTGGAATAAAATATTTGTGACATACCACCAATAATTAAATTTCTGAATAGCAAGTTAGGAAAACTCAAAATTTTCACTAAGAAAACCGCAGCAACAAATTGTGTGAAAGTGAATTTGAAGCTTTGTGGCTCCAAAGCCATGTATTTGAGTTCCATCAGAAATTGGTGGGATGTCATAAATATTCAATTCCAAAAAATTTCAAAATTTGGAAATTCAGTGAAATTTTTTGGGAAATTTAAAATTTGAGAATTTCCATCCAAAATTTCTACACCAAAATTTTGTTGACTTTCTTGTAACTTCATTCAAGATTGAAAAATTATTTTTTAAATGCTAAAACCTTTGACAAAAAGATTAGAGAAATTTTATCATGTGGTAATCTTGTGGTTCCCAAAATGACAAGAAAACTTTAGTCGCAACTTGGCAAGTAGGTAGGTAAATTCCATGACCTGGCTGCTGTTATGTCAGACAGCTAACTGCAATGAAGACATGATGTATATTCAACCAGAAATGAAAGAATTAATTTTAACACGCCAAATATGGTAACCTAAATAATTAAATAAATAATATATACTGTCTAAGCCATTCCTAGCCATTCTCCTGGCATGAAACTAAAAGATTTCCACTAAATGAATTACCTACTATCTGTGTTTGTTAACTATTTGTAAGC